AGCGAGATTCGCCGCTAAAAGGCGCGGGAGTAGATTTCAGTAAGGCTGAGTGATTCTTCGTGGGACGGGAGTGTGTGGTTGATCGAATTAGTGGAGACATTCGCGTGAATTTTGGATGATTGGGTGAGAGGGTGCAATGCCATTTCCAATGGCATATTAATGTACTGGATTTAGGGGTGATATAGGTTTCACTGTGTTGTTTGTAGAAAAAGTATGCTATCTGTATGATGTAGATGTTCCGGGTAATTAGTTAGAAATTCGTGAGAGAGATTTTTAGAATTTATATATGTAGAGAGTTAATCTACTTAAAATTTAGAATTCTTTGTTCTCGATATAATGGGGAATCAGTTGACACTTGAAATTTCTGTCGGAATATTTCTACGTCTTAAGTTGTGCCAATGACCATGGGAATGTAATGTAGAAATATAGTTAATTATAGACATATTATTAGAAATATATGATTAATTATGAGAGTACAGTTAACACACAAGCTCCTACGAAAATCTCAAACGTTTCACACAACACTTATTCATTAGAAGCAAAGATGAACAACTACTAATCATTCGACCTAATTACAATTCAATTATAACCATCACAACCTAATAATTCCTACTAATTATCAACTTGCTTACGTTATTAAACATTTTTATATTGTTAGAAGATCCACATTTTCAATATCTATAATAATAGCTCCACTATAAACTCGGTGGCTCATCCGGGATCACTATATATAGAAATATAATCAATCAACGACACTGTAAGGAAAAATCAGACGAAAGAGGCATCCGAGAGCATTAACAAGTTTGATTTCGCGTAATGAAGAAACTGCGAGACAGAGAACGGTCCCTGGTTTATCGGCTCGCCGGGATTGCTCGCGAGGGTAGACCATTCGCCGCTAAGAGCTCGGCATCGTCGAGAACGTCCACTTTTGCGGATGCGTTGAAATTTTTAGCCAACCCACCGGGAATGGCTCGTCTCGCTGCTCGTCAATTTTATGCAAGGTTATCCCCCTCTCGCCCCGCCCCGGCGCACGTCTGAAAGGCAGAAAGGGTGGAAGGTATGCGAAAATAAAAATTTTATGCACGCGTTCGGATCGAGACCCCTCCCACGCTCTATCTATGCTGATGGAATACAAGTTTCATGGGAGGATAAGTGCCTGGCGTCACGGTGTCTTAGAAAACAGCAAATTATTTATCGTCCCATTGATTGGGGAGGAGGGATACAGGGGAGGCATTGAAATCCGACGATGGACCACGTTGATTAAAGGAAAATACATGAAGTTTTAACTTCGACAATGTATTTACTCCTAGAATCAATATAAAAGTTTTACTTTGTCGAATGATTAACAAAATTGGTTTTTTTAAATTTAAATATGAAAGGAATTATAAAGTGTAAATTATAAAATTATTGTTTTATCATGATATATTAATTTCGGATGCCTTCGATTTCCACGATGATGTATTTACTGTATAAGCGATTCTAATGGCCGCAAATTTCCCCGTGGACGAAACGAGGTGAAATCTAAGCATTATTTTCAAGGTGTTCATAAACGGGAGCTGACATTCCAGAACTAGAGGAGACGGCTTGTTAAGTTTCCTGGAATGCGGTGCTTCAGCGTCTCCAGAGAAATATCTTCGATACTTGTAGAGATTGTTACGTCGAAGGTAACTAATACTCGCTAGGGACATCACCCAACTAGCACGCGCTGATTGTAACGATATTTTGCATGCAAGTAGAACACCGATAAATATTCAACGCATTTTCTCTGTAGCTGTACGTTTTTATATTTACGGGGAACAGCCACCAAAAATATCTGGGTCGTCAAATATGTTGATAAACTACTGAGAACGGAAAGTCTTCGATGTAAAAAACAATTTTTTAATAATCAATACGAAAAATTAAACATGCTTTTATACTTCTAAATGATATATCTTATCAATCAATATTTTTCGTTAATGTATCAATACAAATAATACTACTTAACTGAATTATAATCCATATACACGATCATTACAAGTCTTTATTGATCTAAATATATAATTGCGTAAACAAATATTTTAGGCCTTCAAAGCCAACCAAATTTCATTTATAACATTGTCTTCCAACATTGCCCTTCTCACCTGAGTAATTAATTCAATTAATTTGATTCGCCTAATTTCTTTGTTTCACTTCCCTCCGTAACAAGCGCTCCCATTGATATTACGTAACAAGCAATAAATTAAAGTATGCGGATTAAACCAATCGCAATGAAGGAATTTGATATCGTGTGAAAGATCGTACCGAAGCAACGCAGAGAGTCACCTAATTGGAATTGATGGGTTCCACAAACGACGTGCATCCCGGAACTTTATCGATCTAAATAGTGTCGGCGGTACCGTTTCCAATTAGTTATTTCACCGAGTTTCTCGGCTTACCGCGATTCGTCCTGCCGGCTAAACTGTTCGCAGAAAGCTCTGATTCCGACCGCTTAGTTACTGAAAACGCTCGAAACAGCAAGCGGCTAAACATGTCCGATAGCCAGCTGTGCCTAAGTAAATTGCCTTTTTCGCCCCCATCTAAACCTAAGTTAAATCCTCTTTGCCGCGCGCGCTCTCGGATATCCACGGGAAAGGACTGAAATATTCGTACCACCGGGTTCTTGAAAAACAATTCTGTAACAATGGTAAATTTTAGAAATTCCGTGCAACAACGCTGCCGACGAAGAAGTATTTTAACTCCGAACTTGAATTCCATTTAACACTAAAACTACCGGGCGGGTCAAACCGAGCCGTTCCCGATTTCTCCTTTTCAATTATTAAGAAGATAACAGACTTTGAGAAATTATTAAAGAAATTCATGTAACAATACTCGAACTAAATTGTAAATAATAAAAGTCTCAGTAGATGCACTATTTGGAGTTTCTAGAGGAATATCGAAATGTTAATATAACTGCTCGGTAATTTTAGTGTTAAACAAAATATTTCGACGTTGGTGTATCTTGTAATTAACATTCATATTTGGGGAGGATAAATATAAAATGATTTTGTTAGTAAACATTATGGGTTTCGAATTTTGTTTTTTACAAGGAATGATATGTAGATTATTTTTCTTATTTTTCTGTTTTCCATGTGTTGTATATAATTTTCGAGAAGTTTAAGTAATAATGCAAATTCTTCGTGAATTCTCGATTTTATTCAAATCCACAGTTTTCTAAGAATTTATGCATAATAATATTCATTAATTCCTTCATGTTGTTATAAAAAAAAGGAAAAGTTTAAAATAAAATAAAAATGCAAAATATGAATTAAATTTACTGTTCACAATATTTAATTAATGATTTTGAACCCCGGGGCTTCGTTGCTCAAATTTAATTATTATTCGTGCAGATAATTCCAGAAATGAAAACATCATTGATTAAACATTTTGTTTGGTAGGGTAATTATATTCTCACTTACATGTGCGAAATTATATATCCACAGAACACATTATGAAAAATTAAATTCGAAATATATTTTCATCAACATTTCAAAGCTTCAAGACCGCCAGACATTCTCCGAACTTTCTTACATGGACAAAAAATAATTTCCAGGTGTTTTGACGTGAATTTAATAAAACTCCGAAGTCTCGAAGTTCATGAACTCTTCGAACTGTACAAACCATTTAATTTGAAAGGGAAGAGCCAAATGCTCAAAGAAATCGAAAATAACTTTGATGAAGGATCAGGAGACTAAACCTGGGGATATAAAGTTCCGCGAGCTACTTGACAGAATTTTTGTTTGGCCATTTTTAATGCATAAAGACCTGCGTTAGAACCGGAATCAGTTCGCTCCCTTTGAGAATCTTTTTCCTTTCGCTGGGAGTACGTTTCAAACGAGATATTTCATTTCTCGCCGATACATTATAGAAGAAACGGAATAATAAATAACGGTAAATTTACATTATTGTGGACGGCGGATTTTCCGCGTTAATTTGAAATTTCAAATTTAATCATGTAAAATTGTTTTAAACCTCGTAAAACCTTATTCAAAGGGAATTCATTTTTGCTTCAGTCACGACGCTTATAAATTAGACAATGAAAATGCGGCTGTGCATAAATATGCACTAATTACAGAGGGATTTTCCATGCACCGTCGTAATGTTTTTTACAATGAAATTTCATAAAGTTTTTATTGCGCGACTGTTGTACCAATTTTAGCGGACGATAGTTAAGTGTGGTATTACAATTAAATTTTCTAAAATTAATTTCCCACGTATGTTACTGGTCGTATTGCTTTAAATTTTCAGTTATTTTTTTATAAATTTAAAAATAGACACATAGTAACTGTAATAATTTTTGACAATTAATGTAAATGTATCATGCATATAATTCTTGTGTACAAGGATGAGCATATAAATATGGGCAACTTTTGTTGGAAATCAACTCGATTAATATCAATATAGAAAGTATAACAATAATTGAATTATAAAAACATAGAAACGTATAAATTTGTATACAATAGTGTTCAATCAATAGCTTTTAATCAATTATTACGTAACAAATACAGATAGTTCAGAGTACACCAAATTGCAATGTATATTGAAAAGATTTCCATTTTTATTGCAGTTTTTAACATGTCACCTGGTGTTCGTAACTTTTCAATCTATATTCCTCTAAATAATATAGTACAAAAATAGGAATTGAAATTCATAAGACAATCGTTGAAAAATATACAAAATTTATATATTTGTATATTCGTCACTGTACGTACCCAAGTTTCTTTATAAAAACCTTCACTTTTAATATCAATTTAAAACTCAGTCGCTGTTCGTTCATTTGGATCTTGAAAATTAAAAATTTAAACATAGAAGATTAAGATATATATTCCTAGGACTGCAAATTTTGATTTACTCTACCAAATAACGTTTACAAAATTCAATATGCAACAAATTGCGTTCCGTAAACCTCTTGTTAAACCGTGACACAGAAAAAGGTAAAGTGGACAGCGTTTTACAGCTTTTTCGAACTCGCGTCATCGACTTACTTGCCATTTCATGGGATTCGTGTTAATCTGACACATATAGACGCCTTCGTCCTCCAGTTGCACGCCCTTTATGTGGAGATTCCACATCGTGTGATCACTATGGGACACTGAGATCCTCTTGTTATGAGTTATTACGTGCTCGTGGATCGCCTGGATTGCCTTAGTGTCCGCTTTCACCCAGCCGACCTGTCGAGGACATTCACGTTAGAAAAATTGCACCCGTGACCTGATAAATTCGTGGTGAAACTCGCAACAATAACTAACAAAGCGATCCGGCGTCATGAAAACGAAGTGAATTGTGGCATTTCGTCGAGACGATGTAAGACAGAGGGAAAGTGAATCTTGAAAGTATAATGTTCCGATGAACAGACTTTTCCCCATGAAAATAAAGAATTATCTGTTAAGGCCACTTATAGCTTTACCGTTTCGTTCGAGCCCTTAAACCATCGTGGTTTTAGTTTGTATACACTTTTTACGTTTTCTAAGACTTATCGTACATTTGGTAGTTTTTTCGTAACAATAAGAGCCTTCGTCCTATTCACAACTTGCAATCGTCTTTAATGTACTGGATTTAGGGGTGTGTGATATAGGTTTCACTGTATTGTTTGTAGAAAAAGTATGCTATCTGTATGATGTAGATGTTCCAGGTAATTAGTTAGAAATTCGTGAGAGAGATTTTTTGGAATTTATATATGTAGAGAGTTAATCTACTTAAAATTTAGAATTCAGTTAACACTTTTGAAATACCAAAAATAAAGGAACATTATCTGTAGTAGAATTTAATGTTGCAGTTTTAAATATTATATTATTAAACACTTATTTAAGATAGGTATTTTTATTGTACAGATAAGTATTTGATAATATGATATTTGAAACTGCAATATTGAATTTTTACAATAGACTATGTTCCTTTATTTTTGGTTAAAATATGGATTTTGGAACAATATATTATTGAGATTAGGTCGAATGTTGTTGAAATGAGTGGAAAGTAATCGTACCTCTTTTTTAATTTCCTATAACATAAAAGCGAAGAATTAAAAAATCATTTCAATTCGCATAAATTTTCTAAAAAATTCTAATTCAAGCTATAGTGACAACTTATAATTTCCTCTATTCCAATTTAAAATATCCTGAAAATATTATCATATATTTTCAACCAAAACATCAAAAGACACCATTTTACGTAACCAAATATACCTCAAAAAGATATTCGTTGTTTCTCCAATTAAAAGAAGAAAGTATTCCCAATGTTCATACTTCCAAAAGAGAGACATCGCCTAATTAGATCACCCAGTATTAATCAGTTAACAGCGTGTGACGAGTACTCACTTCATTTCTCTATTTTATTACGCGCAAACAATTTTTTAAACTAAATCCCTTAGGTTAACAGGTTAACAGTAATCTCCAAAAAAATCAATATTCCAACAACATCGATCCAACTAACCTACCCCTAGAAAGACACTTCAAATTTCACATAACTCATCCAGCATCCCCGAAACCAAAAAGCGCAAAATTCAAACCAATTCACAGCAACGCAAAAACCTTGACGGTCGTCGAAGTCTCGGTGACTCGACGGTACATTTTCACAGGAGACGGCCAAAATTCAGGGAGCAATTTAGAGTAAAACCGCGGGCGCGGCCTGAGCCTCTTAGCAATGAGGTCCCCGAGTCAGATTAAAGGGGCTAATGAGACGGCGAGTACAAGTGGTGAGAGGCGACCGGGAACGATCATAGGTCAGAGACGTGTTCATAGATTTCGGAGGCCCCGGGTGACGCCGCAATTTCCCTATAGACAGCTTGAATGCGGAATACAAACAAGCCCGGATGCACGGACGGACTCCGCGGATGCGGCGCCAGGGGTGCGCGCGCGCGCGTAGGCGTGCCGCGTACGCGTCTTCTGTCTTCTTGGCCGAAACTTCGCGGCGATATTTGCATTTTCCTTCGAATATCCGAAATCTCGCCGCGAAGTCACAGAACCGGCGCCGACCGAGCCACCCCGGGAGCGCTTGCATTAATAGGAAAGGGGTTATCGGGCTCGTGCTACCCCGTACCCGGCCTGTTGTAATGGTGTTCGGGAATTGTTTTCGCGGAGTGGCTCTCCTGCATTCGGAAAGGTGTAATTGAAATTTATTCGCACGTGGGCTTGATCGATTGTTGCCGGTGTGTTCGGCCGGACAGGGCCAATTCATTCGATTTCACGGCGCGCCGAGCTTTTACTGCTAAATTGTGGTAATGA